TTGGGACGCAGGCGTATAAGCACTCAGACCAACGCGTGGTCGTTATCCAATCACATACTCCAGAAGGAGCAGCAATCTTCTACCGATCCTCTGCAACGATGACTGATAGCAATGTTGTGTGTATGTGTGTGTGTAGCGATGACCGATAGCAACATGGTCTATCTGTGATCTTCATTGAGTTCAACTTGGTGGGTGCCACGTCACGTGGTGTCTATCTTTACGTCTGAAATTTGTGCTACCTAAAATTGAGCGGTTATCTGAGCACAGTTGTAGTAGGCGATGACTGTTATCTGTTCGTTCAGCCCGCATTCCGAAAGTGCCACCTAAGTGCCTTTCTGCCTCATTCAGTCTACCCACCTGTGCGTTGAGGTCACCTGCAACAACCACCACATCTGAACGTTGGGCTTTCGAGAGGAGGCTAGACAGTTTACAGTAGAACTCGTCCTTCACTTCATCCTAACTGCAGTCAGTGGGTGCGTAAGCAGAGATTACAAAGAGACAACGGCGAGTCTCACTATTCCTTTTAGTTCTTACTGTGCCGTTCAGTTGGACAGCGCAGAGGCGACTATCAACTGGGATCCAGTCTAGTATTGAGCTTTGTGCCCTAGTGCTTAGTGCTATGCCTACACCTGCAAAACCGCGAGAGCTAGCTATCGAATCTCCAGAAACTCGAAGGGTGAATTTTACGGATTCACCAGATTGGTCAGGAGAGGTTAGGTGAATAACCACTGTTGGATCCTGTATGCAAATCTCACAAACACAACACACATCCATGGTCCAAGTTGGTAGTCTTGGCCGATGAAGTCTGTTAAACAATTTGACGGAGGGTGCGGATATTGAAGGCTCCAATGTGTAGTCTTATGGGAAGTTTAAGGAAACCAGGGATGCTGTTCTGTGGACTCAGATCGTTATCGAGTGTTGTAGAGCTAGGAGAAATTGAAAATGATGAAGTATCGTTAATTGAGAGACGTGGTAGCTGGAAGCCAGTGAAACTGTTCCACGAAGTGTTCTGCCCATCGTTCTAGTCGTCTCCTCTGCGAGTGAATTGCAAAGGATGTGCAAATTGATAATCTGCATGTCTGCTGTCAGAATTGATTGATTTTCTAGCAGTCTTTCTACCATCCAGTTCATAAAAGCCAATTTTGGTAAGTTGAATTCAACCGCCTCAATGAAAGCAATACTTTCGAATTCATTATTTACGTAAGAAGAAATCAACTGTTGAGTTGAATGATAATAAACATATCGCCTACATACCTCGAGTAAACTCTTCGAAAAGTAGAACATTTTATTCGCTTCTAATAAATTCATGAATAAAGTAGGAACCATTTGGTACTGAAATTAAATCGAAATGCACTTAGCAACTTTGTATACATTTAATACAGAAATCAATTAGCCGTATCTTATATATGATGGTTGGTGATACTTATCACCATCATCAAGATCAACGTAGGACCAGGCATTACTGTGTAATGGTCCAAGTTACCACACCTCGTATAAGCACATCAAATAACAAGGCAATAAAAGAGATGAAGAAGGAGAGAAAGGTTGGTCGAAGCAAGTAGAAGTAGAAAGTAGTAAAAGAGAAGAAGGAAGAATGAGATGATGAGATTAAGTATAGCGTTAAGATGAGGGTAATGTGTGTACACATCTGCACCACTGACATCGGTTCTGAGTCATGTGATCACCTATAGTCTTCAACCTCTGGTGTATTTTGTCCCACCGACCCCAACCACCTAATCTGCATCGCCCCACATAGCTCAAACCAACAGTCAAATACCTCATACATTTATGCCATGTTTCGGCCTGGCCGCCACCAGCCTTTTTCCAGCCTGAACCTACTTCGGTCAACATTGTGTGACGAGGTAGACGGCGATCAGGCATGCGTAACACATGTTCCACGCAACCACCTCAGTCGATGAAGGTTCACAACTCTGTCAACTGACTTACCTCTGCTTCCTAAAACTCTACACTTGACTTCTGCGTTACTCACGTGGTGATACTACCTGGATCCCCAAACCTCGGTAGGCGGGGTGGGGCTCGAACCAGTGACTCATAAATTAAAATTCATTTTCCGTAAACCAATGATCCACACCCCAACAGGATTTGGCATAATGGAGATTCCACTGCTACATCATCTGTCTATTCGTACATGTCCCTGAATATCAATACCGTTGACCATCGACATAAGTCAAGAGACTTTAAAACTTCTCTTGAATCAAACGGGCAAAGTGTTCTCGGGTGATTATCTGACAATTGTAGGTTATATATGATAGCTGAAGCATCTTTACTAGGTGCGTTAGTAAATCATGAAAAACATTAAAACTTGCCATTACTTCATCTTCGTCAATATAAGATGAAATGGAATGAACAATTTACAAATGATTTATAAATTGGACAGCTGAAAAACTACTCAGCTGTAAGAAATGCCAACATGGGCTGTACGATTTGTAAATCATTTGCAAATTGTTCATTCTATTTTAGGTATACCGGTTCATGCAAGCCAGCTAGCCAGATTCAGGTGATCTGAACTAATTCGAATCTCTGAGATGAATTTGTCCATGTACGCCGCTGATGAGCTGGCTCGGTGCTAAATGAGCAAAACGTCCGTACGGTGTTTAGATCACTCAGATATGGCTAGTAAAATACTGAAGATCAGCCGGAGTGGTTTCTAACTACTGAAATTGTTCAATAGTAGTATCTTTCATAAGATGAAAATTTTATATTTAACTTCATATTGTAATTGCTTTTAAGGTTTGTGATACGTTAAATATTTTGTTAGATTATATGTAGGTGAATTCGTATAATCCCCGACCGGTCTAGAAGGGATATCTCACTTGTGAATTCCCGTAGCTCAAAGAATATGAGGAAGTTGCAGCTTTTTGGTGTTAGTGACAACCATAGCGAAGAACTTAGTTCCTCTTTAGCGAATTGTATTAGTTTGCTAGTTAAGACATTTAGTATTATAAGCACAGCTTGTTTTCGCAATATTAGCTTTCCCCTATGGCCTCGTATTAAGATGTTCCCTTGCCTTTTCTCGCAATCAGCTGAGTTTATAAGCAGCCTATTTCCCTTGTCTGCCCATTGCACATGCTGAGCCACCACCTATCTCAACGGTGGGGAGGTGGATTAGGCTGGAAGAAAGTTCGAGGGGGGAGCGGTCAAAACTTGGCACCAGTCAACAAATTCCCTGACTATTGGTCCGAGCCACGTGGGGAGATGTAGACTACCAGAGACGATAGTAATCCGTAGTTGAGGACTCTAGGTGACATGGCTAAACATCGGTCGCAGTAACGCAGATGTATTCACTCCTTGGTGTTTCCTAAAGCTTGAATATCTGTACAAACCTTCATTTTAAAATTGATTATTCTCTTAAACAACTTGGTCCACTTTGATATCAGTCTTTTCCGATCCATCTATTCTTTATACACTACTTTGAAGTACGGCAACTTGATCCGATACACCTGTGTGGTAGGTTCTACGTTCATTCTGTCTGTCTATCTGATTTGATGATGATAATAATCTTATCTTTGTACAACTGTTTTATACCAGTCAACTCCCCTCTATTCATGTTTGACTTATCTGAATTACCCTAGTCTCGTTCTGGTCTAACACAAGCGTTATTGTTTTCATTTCACTATTCTACCTCTTGTTTACGTCATTTCTTTCGTTCGTTCTAACTGGTAACTCTTAACTAGTCCACTAAAAAGACTTTTGTAAATAAACAACCTTAATTTGTTTTTGGTTTACAACACAACTTTTAAATTAGATGATGGTTTGAGGATCAGGACAAATATCCAACTTTGCAAGATAAAGAGCAAATCTCAGTGGAATTTTGTACTACTGGTATCTACACTTCACAGAAACAAAACTTCTATCTCACATACCAAACGATAAACTGATTACCTCTAAGGTTTATAAACTTGTAAAGGAAAGTGGTTATTGAGATTTGAAAGTAGTGGGATAGCACTTGGTTCTCTAAATGGTTTCCAATCAATGAAAGGTCTCTGACTACAGGACTGCATAAATCACGTTCGAATCTCTTAGAGGATATCAGTTTCCTTGAGGTTTTAGATACTACTTGCTGACGTGTAAGATGCAAAATACCTAGGTTTAGGGTTTCCCGATGATTGCCTCCAACCAACAATACAGAAGACTGTTACAAACATCCAACTTATTGATGCCGATAAAATATCTAACACTGATACACATTAAAGCTATCTACATCGAAATAGGATATACACAGTGTTAACTAACTGGTTTCATACAGAAAACATTTAGTATGAAAGTCGAATGTTTAGATGTAGTTGGTTGGCCTAAGTACTACTTTATCTTCGATCAGTGGATGCCAGAAACAAATCCCGCCTTGTTTACTTCGGCATTAGCAACCAGATAGCAACATAAGCCGTAATATAATAATATATATATATATATATATATATATATATATATATATATATATATATATATATATATATATATAACTTTAGTTGATAGTCTACTACATAAACAAGTACCAGAATGTTAATGATGGATAGTGGCTAGCAGTGGAATCCAAGATGCACATTTCGTCCTATTTAAGACTCGTCAGCTGGATGTACCTGCCTCCCAGTGAGTGATGTTGTTCCCACTAAAAACTATACCCGTCGCACAAGAAGTGGCTAACGTGGCTGGTGGTGTAGTGGATAACGCACTGGCGTTTGAAGCGATCGCTTCCGAGCCTGAATCCCGGTGGGAACAACATCACTCATTGGGAAGCAGATACATCCAGCTGACGAATAGCAAATAGGACGAAATGCGCATCCTGGATTCCACTGCTAGCCAAAATCCGTCATTAACATAAATAGAACGCTGGCAATATTGAGGCTTCCGCAGAGGAGCCCAAATGCTAATAGAGACAGATCAATTCGGCCCAACCAAAGACGGTATCAGATAAAAAAAACAATTATACTAAGTACTAGAATGGCTGTATGAAAAGGACACATAATTGAGAAGACAATTACCCTTAAAATTGCATAACGAGCACAACAATGTGCTTGACGCCATGATCCAATATCAGTAGGATTTTCTGCTGGTGAAAAATATTCCATTGAAGTCACGCCCGAACGAATCATCGATAACCAATTGATATAAACTACATCGGCAACATCACCTGGAGCACACTTAGAATTTAAACCAAACTGTTCCAAAACAAGAGGTATATTGCACAAATAAATTCCAACACACTCAGCTCGACATTCTTCTATTGCAGAAGATAGGCTTGAAAATTTACTATCATACGTTTCTCCTGCTTCATACCTTTAAACGACAGAAAGTATACAAGTTTTCATCAAAATTTATTAGCACAAGCTAGGCATAAAATGTAAGTATCTTTGAAATATAAGTAAATTTTAACATGATTACAGAGTGGATAACGCTTTCGCGTTTGAAGCGATCGCTTCCGAGTCCAAATTCCGGTGGGAACAACATCACTCACTGGGAGGCAGGTATATCCAGCTGACGAGTCCTGAATAGGATAGAATGCGCATCCTGGATTCCACTGCCTATCATTACTACACATTACCGCAAAGTGTTTAGAAAATCAAGACCAGGTAAATTTAAAATAAGAATTTACAGAAAACCTACTCATTTTGATAAATATCCATGTTTTCAATCCAACTATCCAATGAATATGAAAACTACAGTATCTTTGAATCTATTAAATACGGCTAAAAAAATATTATGATCGATCCAGAGGATATAGAAAATAAAACGAGTATTTATAGAAAATGACTATTCAAAGCCTTTTCTGAACAACACTATCAATAGGCAAGAAGATTGGATAAGTAAGACTGGAAAGAAGTCATGAATATCAACAATGACAATTCCATATCGAAAAAGGTACATCAGAATGAATGTAAAGACTTAGTGCTAGGTACGCTATTAGAGTATATTTCGAACTTTCAAATTCTTTGAAGAAAACCTTAGTCAAAGTGAAAGGCATAATTCCAAAGATGATATAAAACAATTGTGTATTGGACAGCTGAAAATTAGAGTGAGTTATGTGGTAGACACCCAACGAAGAATGAAGTAGAATTGAAAAGTCTGAAAAAGAGGTTAGATAGTAACGATGGTGACATATTAGGGAAGGATTTTTACTCACTCAGATAAAGATTGATTGTGGCATACACAGCGAAACGTTTAAAAAAATCTTTTAATGTTCTACACTTGATTCAACGCTCACCTTCTTTGAGAACATTTGTAACAGCTATGGCCTGGATGTTTCTAATTGTTGACATGATTTAAAGAGGATAGTTATCGATTGAATGTGTCAGTATTTCAGGGATAGGCTATGATTTATATTTACATTAATAGTTACAAAATTAACTCACATAAGGATGTTACACCGTTATATGTTTAGCTACTTTATAAAATATCCCAGCATATGAGATGTTTCGCATTTGTACAGAAAAGATGGAACGTCCAGATTACAATATAATATCAGTATTGGTTTGAATTATGTAGGGTAACGTAAGCCTAGCTAGAGTCCTAGTAACAGCCAGTGTTTACAGATAATGACCAGTATGGTTTATGTACGACCTCTGTGGTGTAGTTTATTAAAAATGAATCTTTCCTCCCCAATCTCAATCTTACAGCAACTCATGAAATAAACAATATAGAAAACGTTATGTATATTAGCTATATGTGACCATTGAAAGTGGAAGATATGAGAAGGCTTCAAGTGTTTGACCACCGTTGCCATCGTAGTATAGGCCATATTCCGTGGTGTCACCACGTGAGTAATGCAGAAGCTAGGTGTAGAGTTTTGGGGAGAAGAGGTAAGTCGGTTGACGAGGTTGTGAACCTTCATCGACTGAGATGGTTGGGACACGTACTACGTATGCCTAGTCACCGATTGCCTCGTCACACGATGTTGACCGAAGTAGGTTCACGCTAGAAAAAGGCCCGAGGTGGCCAGACTAAAACATGGCATAAATGTATGAAGTCTGACTGTGAGTTTGAGCCATGTGGGACGATGAACACTAGGTGGTTGGGGTCCACGGGACAAGAGGAACCAGTGGCTGGAGACTGACTCTAGGTGATCACATGACTGAGAACCGATGTCAGTGGTGCAGATGTATACATACATTATCCTCATCTTAACGACACTATACCGAACCTCACCACTTTCTCATTCTTCGTTTCTCTCTTTTTGCACTTTATATTTCTTTTGACTGCATTCTCTTATCTTCATCCTTCACCTCACTACCTTGCTACTTGATGTATTGATATGAGCTGTGGCAACTCGGACAGTTACGCAGTAATGCCTGCTCCTATGTTGATATTGATTGATTGATACAGCATTACTTCATGCGGTTTAAGCTATACATATAAACAAAAGACAAAGCTGAGAGTTGAAATTATTGTTGTTGTTCGAAAAGCTAATGACTAACTTGCTATCAAAATCTTACTAGGTAAAGATTAGGTCAAACTTGTGGTCCAGTAACTGAAAGCCTAGTGCCTAAACCAAATACCCATAGCCTCACAAAGCCTAATTTTATTGTTGAGTAAAACTAAAACCTCCACAGATTGTCGATACACTGATTCATCATTTCGATTTTAGATATGACGGTTTTAACGGATTGTATGCTTACGTTGTTCTAAATTAATTAGAATATAAAATGAACACCTTTTATGTTGCAGAAATTCTACGAATTTCGCTAAAGAAATACTACATATTGAAATCTGTACGAAGTGTACTGAAGAAATTATATCATTTCTAACAAGAAAATAAAGTAATTTTTTGTAAACCATATTTCTTCGACTTAAATGAATAACGGTGTCGTAAAAGTACAGTCGATTACTAATGTACTTGCTGAGTCCTCGGCCCTAGTCTTTTTTCTCTCTTTTCCTTTCCAGAATCTCATGGTCACAACTAAACTCATACTCCTCTACGTGTCCCCGTGCAACAACGTACCTACTCACCTACATGCTAAACGAAAACCTATCAACAGTTGGTCGTTACGCTACCTTATAATCTGTTTGTGTCCTGATCAGATCAATTACTCGCACAAAGTGATAACTACAACGACAGTGCCTAGAATGTAATGAATCCATGAACCAAGTTAGCTGGCCAACTACTACTGACTCGGACACATGACACAGGGATAAATAATTACAATTCTATTGTCTATTCTCTTAAATGATAGGTAAAAGATGTAAATCAGGTAAGATGTTGCAGGTAAGCCTTACTGATGAGTGCCGACAAGCACGAAACCTAGGGTGTCCTGTCGATTGCCTCCGACCACACTAATATATTTATGTGAACTAGACAATGAAGCAAACTAAGTGGGTTATGGGTTTCCGAAATTACCTGACCACCTGAAACGAAATAGGTGAGGCGGGATTTGAACTTTTGCCTGAAAGTCGAGTGCTTCAGCTAATGAGCTATATATCGATGAGTTACTTCTTGTACGTACAACAATAACAAATATGAAGTCCCTATAAACAGGTATCTTCTTGTACGTACACTGTTTCGTCTCAACTGTCTCATTAAATGCATTTAGAATTCCAAGTGAATGCAATACTACGACTACAATATAAGCACATAAGTTTGAATGAAGATTAGGTGCAAATAAAAATCTATTTTTTCAGTTTTATTACACAGTACATTAACTAAATGAGTTTCAGACTAAGAGAAACTCTACTGACCAGTGTCGATGAACAGAGATTCGATGCTACAGGATTCCGATGGTAAAAAAGGTGTATCATGACGTTACTCGCCTATTTAAACAGCTACATTACATATATTATACTTGTTGGTATTGAATACTGCTGATTATGAAAAACCCAACACTTATCGCCATACGATTAACATACTAAGTAATTGTATCAGAAACAATCATATCAAACGTAATGATAAGCTGTATAATTACAGAAAATAATATTAAAGACGTACCAACTTTGCACCGAACCTCCATTTATGAGATCTTCCGTAGCATTTGTATCGAAATTTAATTTACCATCACAGTCACGTTGGAATAGTTTGCCAGAACCATGCCCTAACAGTTCATGAAGTCCAACTTGCAGTTCAAAGGAGCTTTCGACATTGTCCACATACATTTTTTTGTCTTCATTACGTAAAAATTCTGATTTAGGATCCTAGTTTGATAAATAAGTTAAACAAATAAACTTTACCTTGAAACGAGCACTAAGTACATTGCCCAAGGAAACATTTTTAAATCCATCAACTTGGCGAACATCATCATAGTTGGGAATGTTGATTCCAACAGGGATTCCAGATGTTGCGAACGTCACTACATCTAAGCTTGTAAAGTCTGGTTGTAAGAACCTATCTTTTTCGTATGTAGCAGGCCATGGTAAGTGGGACAAGCACTCTTCAGCTTTATTTACCAGTCGCTGAAATTTTGACGACATGGATCGATTAACAACAGCTACAAATGACTCGAATTCAGCTCGTACACCAAAAGGATCACGGTATGTTTCAATAAAGCCAATGTAATTTTCAACTACGGGGCCTTTATCTTTGACCCACAATCTTGAAGCGTCTTTGTGAGCGGCTACCGAGCCCGTGGCAAAGCTCTGTGCATATTCATGCCACATTTCTGATTCAACTTTGTTTAAAGAGTGTGTTTTGGATTCTATGCAACAATCAACAAGTAGCTTCATAAGCTCACAATAGTCACCATACTCAAGATGTAAAGATGTGTTGACGGGGAGATCATCGAAAGAAACAGGTTGGACTCTTTTTTCAGCTGACGCAAACCGAACAGAATAAATAACTGAGTTGGAATTGATATTTTTGAAGACTCTTGTATTATACGCCTCCGTTTTTATACTTTCCAGATACTTCTGAATCAACTCAGCATCACTACGCGTACAGTTTCCAGAGTAGTAAGTAGTTATTTCACTGGGACCGAATCCAAGGCGCAAACGTCGAGGGCTCAATGAATACATCGCAGGCGCTATTTCTTCCCATAAAGCCTTAAGTCCTGTTTTTGGATCACAGAATGCATTGTTCAGCGATAACAGTTCAGTTACTCTTTTGAGACTGATAGCTGGAATAAACTTGGTATCTCCAAAAGACAAGTAATTTCCAAAGTTGCCTAACACCGAAGCAAAGTACGATAATACGTGGTTTATCTCTTCATCAGAAAAATTTTTCTTTTTTGCCTCTTCAACGAATGAATTCACATTCTGGGACTTGAAGAAGCGATTGATGAACAAAAATATTCCAGCAGACTCCGGGGATGTTTGAATTAGTCCAATGAGACCCCAACCCATGATGCTTGTGTGCAACTGAAGACATAGTCTTTTTCAGCCTTACTTAAGGACTGAAATGCTTCTTTTACATCAAGAGCGTGGACAGGAGGGGGAACGTTTACGTAAAAATCCATACTATAAGACAGTGAGGGTTGTTTGAATGCTTTCAGTATACCATGAGATCGAAAATAACGTAGTGATGGCCCTAGGATAGATTGGAGACGACGGAAATAAACCTAGAAATGAAATGTACATATTGGATAAATTAGGGATTTTTGACAGTAATATGATAGTATACTTGGATAGCATCCCAAGTAATACAATAAGTGACTCAGTGCACCCACCGGCAGCCAGAAAATGAGTCACATAATGTTTTTAGGAAATGACAACACCTGGTTGGCTAAATGTTGATCACTGGTCCGATAGCTAGTTTAAACCTAGAACCTGACCGATAGCTGCTACCTTGACGTGGTGGTCGGGTTTGCGTATCACAATGTACCAAAGAGGTATGCTAGTGGAACACTTGTCCCTCGAGATCCTACCATACCAGAAAGGTCTGTTAGATATTGGTTAGACGAAAAGCAGTTAACATTTTCGTGTAAATTACTACACTGATGGGAATCGGAGGGCGAAGTCGTACTGCTGTTAGCTGGATGGGGTGTGACAGCAGTAAGGTGTCCAGAAGTGACCAGCAGTGCCATGCTGATGCTGTCTTCTCAGTGGAAGAGGTGGTCAGAAAAGGTTAGCAGTAAAAATAACACTCCACCATGCCCCACAGTCTGCCGGACCGGCAGTGTTGGTTCATTTATCGTTTTATTTTCGACCTTCAGGCCCCAAAACAACAAAAGCTCAAAACATCTATACAGGTCCCAAGCAGGCGTCTGATGGGCTCTGCGGTCACAAATCTCTTTCAGGTAACTTAAAAAATAGACCTCCATGGTGTGGGCAGCCGGAATGTGTCAACCACCCTCACAATTCTGTCAACACTCAAGTTTCCTCAGACTGCTATCCACATCCTCCATCATTACCTTCTAATCTTCCTCTACGTCTCTTAACTAACGATACTTCATCATCTTCAATTTCTCCTAGCTCTACAGCACTCGATAACGATCTGAGTCCACAGAACAGCATCCCTGGTTTCCTTAAACTACCCTCAAGACTACACATCGGAGTCTTCAATATCAGCACTCTCCGTCAAATCGGTCAACAGGCTTCATCGGCCAAGACTACCAACTTGGACCATGGATGTGTGTTGTGTTTGTGAGATTCGCATACAGGATCCAACAGCGGTTATTCACCTAACCTCTCCTGACCAATCTGGTGAATCCGTAAAATTCATCCTTCGAGTTTCTGGAGATTCGATAGCTAGCTCTCGTGGTCTTGCAGGTGTAGGCATAGCACTAAGCACTAGGGCACAAAGCTCACTACTAGACTGGATCCCAGTTGATAGTCGCCTCTGAGCTATCCAACTGAACGGCACAGTAAGAACTAAAAGGAATAGTGAGACTCGCCGTTGTCTCTTTGTAATCTCTGCTTACGCACCCACTGACTGCAGTTAGGATGAAGTGAAGGACGAGTTCTACTGTAAACTGTCTAGCCTCCTCTCGAAAGCCCAACGTTCAGATGTGGTGGTTGTTGCAGGTGACCTCAACGCACAGGTGGGTAGACTGAATGAGGCAGAAAGGCACTTAGGTGGCACTTTCGGAATGCGGGCTGAACGAACAGATAACAGTCATCGCCTACTACAACTGTGCTCAGATAACCGCTCATTTTTAGCTAGCACAAATTTCAGACGTAAAGATAGACACCACGTGACATGGCACCCACCAAGTTGAACTCAATGAAGATCACAGATAGACCATGTTGCTATCAGTCATCGCTACACACACACACACACACATACACACAACATTGCTATCAGTCATCGTTGCAGAGGATCGGTAGAAGATTGCTGCTTCTTCTGGAGTATGTGATTGGATAACGACCACGCGTTGGTCTGAGTGCTTATACGCCTGCGTCCCAATGGACGTAGGAAAAATCTAGCAACAAAACCATTACGAGTGCAGCTCGACAACGAAAACACCAAAACCGCTTTTAGTAAGAAATTGGCTAGGCAGTTATTGGAGCAGAACACTATCACTCATCCAGAAGAAGCTTGGTGCCATCTCCAGTCTACTGAAAAAGTAACTCTGAAGACCACAGCCGACTCGGAAAGTGGCAAAAAAACCAGTGGATATCAACAGCCTCTTCCGAACAACTAGATGTACGAGAACTCATCTCTGCATGCTTTGAATACAACAAAGAGCGAGTGCAACTTAAAAGTAGATTGAGAGAAGGTCTACGCAACGACCGCGAACAGTGGTGGGCAGCGAAGGCTAAAGAGATGGAGAAGACAGCAGTGATTGGTAACAGTAGACAGTTAATTAGACTTCGGGGAAAAGGTCAACAACGGTTAGTGAGACTATAGCGAAGGATGTGTCTGCAGTTTACTCGCAGAGGAGACAACTGGAACCATGGGCAGAACACTTCGAGGAGCAGTTCCACTGGCTTCCAGCTACCATTGCGTTGCCCGTTCTCTAGTCGGATCCTGAATGGAACATTAAGAAAGGCCCCCGAACACTTGCAGAAGTCGAGAAAGTGGTAGATAACGTGAAACGAGGAAGGGCAGCAGGACCAGACGCACTAACTCCTCAGGTGTACAAAGATGGTGGTAAGATGCTCTTGGTCAGGTTGACGGAAGTGTTAACTAGAAAACCAGGCAGGCTTTAGACCCAGACGTGGGTGTATCCACCAAATATTCACACTCTGCCAGAGGCAGGCTTACCGATGCCCGATGGTAGCTGTATTTCTCTACCTGAAGGCGGGATTCGACTCCGTTGATCCAGAAGCCTCTTCGCAATGTCTCTTACTGAAAGGCTTGCCGAGTAAGTGCACCACCTTAGTGTAGGCTTTTTATTCGAAAACTTGTGGGAGTGTTTGAGCCTATGGTGAGATGTCCAGGAAGCTGTGCTCGTCAAGTGGTGTCCGTTAACGTTCCAACTCTCTCCATTCTTATTCAATTTTATCGTAGATATTCTTATGCAGGTCTCCCTCTCGTCACTTGACTACACAGAGGTTGACGTGATCACGGGAGAATTTTCGCTACACCTAGAATATGCAGATGACATAGTCTTGTTAGGTGAAGACGCAGAGTGACAAGATGCAGAGTCTTCTGAACACACTGAGTGGCAGGTTGAGAATGTTTGGGATGCGTTCCTCACCACTGAAATGCAAACTGTTGCACCAGGATTGGTCTTCAATGGTGCCCCACCGTGGCTAACAATAGAGAGTCAGTGTAGTGATTCAGTGTGTTGACGACTTCACTTACCTTGGAAGTGCAGTGGGATCAGACCTGATGGTTGCTCACTGGTTGATGAAATCTCTCCACGAATACAAGAGGCTCGACTGGCTTTCGCCAACTTACGTTACCTATGGCTTCACCGTGATATTCGATTGTCTATTAAGGGTCTTGTTTACTACACAACAGTTCGCTCTGTTCTACTGTATGTCTATGAAACATGAACATTGAAGGTGGAAGACATGAGAATACTTCAGGTGTTCGACAACCATTGCCTTCGTAGTGGACGCTGTATTCCATGGTGTCACCACGTGAGTGAGCAACGCACAAGTCAGAGGTAGAGTTTTGGGGAGAAGAGGTAGATCAGTTGACACAGTTGTGAACCTTCATCGACTGAGATGGTTGCGTGGAACATGTGTTACGCATGCCTGATCGCCGTCTACCTCGTCACACAATGTTGACCGAAGTAGGTTCAGGCTGGAAAAAGGCTGGTGGCGGCCAGGCCGAAACATGGCATAAATGTATGAGGTGTTTGACTGTTGGTTTGAGCTATGTGGTGCGATGCAGATTAGGTGGTTGGGGTCGGTGGGACAAGATACACCAGAGGTTGAAGACTATAGGTGATCACATGACTCAGAACCGATGTATACACACATTATCCTTATCTTAACTACGCCATACTGAACCGCACCATTTTCTCATTCTTCCCTTCTCTCTTTTAGTACTTTGTATTTATTTTGATGGAATCACCTTTTTTTCATCTTCCACCTCACTGCCTTTTTACTTGATGTAGCGATATGAGCTACGGCAACTCGGACTATTACGCAGTAATTCCTGGTCCTATGTTGATTTAGATGGATAGATGACCTGGAACCTGACATCGCTACGAAACGGTACAACATAGATACTATGAAATGTCCCAAAGAATCTATTATGAAATGATATTTCAAGGTTTATTTGACTTGCTCTTCGGCAATTACTCAAGAAGTCAACTGAATTATTCAAATTATTTTTCTCCATGATGCTTCAGCTATTTGCTTTTGAATAGACTGTTATTTTGTTCTCATAACTGTCACCCCGACTTTCATGGCTGTTTGACTAAACCGCTAACTAACGTTCGAGATTCTGGTCAGTTTGTAAACACCAAATTGTGTTTAGGTAGGTGAAGACTAGGTTGCTAGAGCAGCAACAGTTCAACCCATTGATCTGAAAACGCACATTCCAAACAGTCATGGGAGGGAAATAGTCTTAGATTCACTGACTGTACAGTAAACTTCACTTTTACTATGGACTAACACTATGTTGTTAGATCTATGATATAAATCTATATTATTTTCGATAGCATTCTTTATGCAAATAGATCAGTATTATATCAATACAATAAACGATGTCAGTGGTTAGTCTGTAAGTCTTCTGGATCACCAATCAGCGTGAGTTTTGGAGGCAGTTATGAAAGGAGAGCAGTAGACCAATTATTTCCGTTTTTGAGCGCATATCACTAAGCTGCACCATATATCGTCTTTCAACATACCGATAAACTTTTGTTTCACGAACGAATCGGTAAGTCAAAATACTGTTGCGTCCTTCAGTGCTAACTGAATCTCATTCACCTGGGTTATTTCTAAGTAGAATGAACGACCTAGTATTGGGTGATTTAAAGTGATCAAAAAGAGATGGCGGGTAT